GCAGGCCATACTAAGATTCTGTTACTATATTGTTAAATTCCTTCCACCCCAATTTCTTAGGCACACATTTTTCTACAAAAAAAGCAAAAGTATTACCTTGCTTTTTTTTTTCACATAAATGTTACTTCATCCAAACCTCACAATATTTAGCACTCTAGTAACTAATGCTAGTTAGTGGACACATAACCTAAAAATCGGTAAAGACAGAATTTAGAGCATTATTAGTGCTATAAGAAGTATAAAGGCTAATAAAAAGTGTAATTTCATCAGTGACTGTAAATGCTCTTTGCAGCGTTTTCCCTGAAGTATACCCAAAGCACGTTTAGATATTCTCCAAACAATCCTCTGTAGATGAATCATTTCAGAAACACTGGTCCAATCAATTAAAATTAATAGAAACATGAAAAATAGATTTACTCCCAAAGCAACAGCCCATACATATCATTATACTAGACAGAACATAAATTTGGCATCAATTATAATTAAACAAATATTCAGTTTGCAATAGCCATTTATTCTGATTGTTGTACAGCAGAAAAAGCCAGTTTTATTCATTTTACTGTCTCTGTTCCCTAAGAAAAACAGATTGGCAAACAAGTTAGAATAAAAATGACAAATTTTTACAGGACTACCCCATAACAACTACTTTTAGATGCCTGGAACTTCAACTGACACACCTGCACAGTTTTCCTAAATAAAGGGTTCAAATACAAGTACATTAGAACGCTGAAAATAGTATTTAGTCTCTATCCTGACAGTGGAAAGACAAAGCATTAACTGAAAATAAGATACCCTCTTTACACAGTTGGATGTGCTGAATCTGTTCTCATAAGATAAAGCTTCACCCTAACATAAGGGAGATGTGATAAATATACTGAAATTTATGCAAAGTCTTAGACTCGTTCTTAAAAAGTTGAAAAAAAAAATTAGTAACAACACCAATAGGCAAATTACAAAAGAAAAATATAAATATCCAGTAAGTATGGAAAAGGATGGTCAGCCTCATTTTTAATTTTTAAAATTTCAAATTAAAACAACAGTGAGATACTTTTTTATAAAAATAAAAAGTCCTTTTTGTTGCATTATAATATTCCGTGGCAAGGGCTCAAGGAAATACATATTTTCACATGGTGCACTGGTGGGAATTAAAACTGACAAACTTTCTGGAAGACAGCCAGGCACTATGCAAGAAAATATATCCCCTGCTTCTCCTTTGACCCTGGATATTTCAATAAGCATTTAAAAGATTCACTTCCTGCCCCTTGACACACTCCAGTTATTATTCTCACCAATACCTACGCTGGTTTCACTTAACAGCATTTCTCAACCTAAGTCATGAATATACCTGTTAAAGGAAGTAGTTACTAGCTCCTGTGATAGAGTCCAGCTCGCACAGCGTAGCACACAAAAAGACCTTCCCGATCCAGTCCCCACCTGACCTCCAGGCTTCCCTCCCATTAGCACCGTTTCACAAAGCCCAGCATGACCAGTTCTTGGCACTCTGAGAATTCACGCTGTGGAAGTCTCTGTGCTTTTGCACTGTCCATCCATGTGCTGTTCTTGCCACGCCCACTCCTACGTGTGCGTCAGAATTTGCCCTGGCATCACCTCCTCTCCAAAACCGCCCCTCTCCCATTACCTCACCAACACTGAGTCACTTTTTTGCTGAGTACTCTCACTATATCTTGTACACATTTTCCTCCACAAATCAGAACTACTAACACTTGCATAGAGGTTACTGTGTACCAGGCTCTGACCGAGGAACTGTACATGTATTACTCATTTAGTACAAACCACTCTATGCGGTACATGCTCGTACACTCATTGTATTGATAAGGAAACAACAAACGCACAGGAAGATTAAGAAACTCATCCAAGGTCACAGAGCTAATAAGTAGCTGAACTGGGATCTGAAACCAGAATTTGGACTCAGAGTCCATGCTCTGAACCACTAAACCTCTGACTCTAACCACTGTCTCTACATTTTAATGGACCGCTGTCTCTCCCTACACAGAAATCCTGCGTCTAGTTTTCTGTTGATTCATCTGTTTTTCCCCCGAGGACTTAGTACAATATCTGACACACGGGAATTACTGTAAAAATATTCACTAAACTGAGCCACTACCTGGCTATAATTTTTAGGCAAGTCACTTAACCCTCTGGATTTCAATTTGGTCCTTTATATCCTATCTTTATATAAACCATAATTCTAAACTTTAAATTCCACCACAGAATGATATTTAAATTCCAGTATAAACACCATAAAATGGAATATTTCAGACAATGAAATGGATAAATTCCACTAAAACAGCCCAAGTTCTCAAAATACATTACCTTGCTATCAACTTTTAACAAGAATTTCCCAAGTCCAACAATTGGCCATGGCGCCAGCGCTTCCTGCCGGTCCTTCAGGAAGCGCTCCATGACCCGCCACCACACGGAGCAGCGCTTCTCCAGGAAGTCCACAACTCCGAAGTGAATGACCAGCTTTTTGAGTACCCAGACTATAAAGAGGGTAAGAAATACATGTATGAACAAAATGCAGATTACGAGGTTATCACAGAAAAAGGTCCCTTAGTTCCATGTGACCTTTTAAAAACAGTAGAGCTAGTATTTAAGTCAAGACCAATTTAAAAAAGGAGAGGAGGGAAGAAAGTTCAAGGTATTCCAGAATGATGGTATTGGGACAAGCAACTTTTCACACAATCCCCACTTGCTCCCACACATACCACCTTCTTTGTGGAGTCTGAATCCCTGAGGAGTCAGGGCTTATTTTACAACCTATTTTGATCATGAAGATTTCAGCGACTATGACGCAGGCCCCTCATACCATACCCTTCTGGGGTAAAGAATACTAACCCCTGACATGTTCTAATCTCCTTGGCTATTATAGTTGCTGTTGCCAAATTTTGTTCTTTTCCTGAGATTTTTTTCTTTAGTGACCAGAAAAGTAAAGGTATTCCACCCACATCATGATTTTATACCACTTCAGGTAACGTTTTCGTTTATGTTCCTATTTCTTTAAGTGATGTTGTGCTACACATCTGAATCTTTTACCAGGATTCAGAAGAGAAGCAGGCTGGTACAAGCAGGGCTGTTACAAATGGCCCGAGGCTGGGGACCATTCACAGGCCACAATATGAATGTGCCCTCTGCAGTTAGGCAATGCAGCGGCCCTTTGCGCAGGGGGTAAGCTTCCCGTAAAGGCCAACTAAGAAGGTGGTGGAACTAGAAGGCTTTATTTTTGTTTGACAAAAAATTAGATTCTATGTACACATATAGCACGTGTATCATATCAAAATGGAATCCTATGGCTTTTCATAAATCATTAAACTAGGTCTTTGTACCTGAATACCATGGTAATTTAAGGCCCACCTCTATTGTGTTGTCCTCTCTAAAGGTGTCTTTTAATCATGGTATTCAGGTACAAAGATCTAGCTTTAATGATTTATGAAAAGCCGTAGGATTCCATTTTGATACAAAACATATGACATGTACATATAACTTAATTTTCTGTCAAATAAAAACAAATCATTTTGCAGACATTATAGTTTTCAAAACCCACATTTCCACTGAATTAAAAATGCAATGTAAAATGCACTTCACTAAGAGCAGCTCTCAAAATTCAATCATAAACCCCTAAACCTAGATGCTAACATTCTCCTCTATGGAAAAAAGAAACATTAAAGAGGAATCAAGTAACAAATTTCCAAAATAATGCTTATTTAAATGCAGACATATGATAATTTAATTTAAAAAGAAAGTAAAATGATCCCAAGTATTAAAATTTAAAGGGAAACCATTTTAACAATAAGATGTTAATTAACGATCACCTGCAATGGGCACTGGCAGCAGCTGCACGATCCACAGGTTCAACCAGAGCTGGACGGCAATGATGGCCCAGACGAGGGTCACGAAGTAGAAATCGCTAGTTTTCTTCTTTCTGGGGAACGCTCCGATCTCAGGCCTTTGCCTGCGCAGCGTGGGCGAAGGGGAAGTGGGCGAAGATGAGGACAATGTTGGAGGGGGTTCGCCTCTGTCCATGGTTTCTGAAGAGAGAAAGATAAAAGAATTACCCACCATCTTAGTCCACATCAGTGAACAGTAATACAGAGTAACTGGCTAAGCTACTCTATTTTAAGCCTTCAAAATGGACTCTAACAGTATGATTACATTGGGTCAAAAAAAAAGATTTTGATGTATGTTTGCATATGCACTGAAAAATATGTGATGAATTAACAATACCAACAGTGTTTACAGCTAGGGAAGTTAATTAAAAAAATTTTTTGGGGAGGGGTACTTTATACTGTTTAAGCTTTTTATGATGTATCTTTATTAATATAGATACCATTTTAAAAAATAAAGAAAAATATAGCAAAATAGCTGAGAATTATAATTAATCCATGAAAATTATTCAAACCATATGAAGCAGCAAACATTAACGTATATAAACCCTACATTTAAAGTCCTCTTTAAATATAACTTGATATTAGATACACTTATATAGATATTTCTGACACAATGTGGCTTTTCATTGTCATTTCAACTAAAATGGAGCCAAACTCTCTTACAAAAAGAACCCAGGACTTTGAAACATGTGTTCCTCTTAGAATGAGACACAGAACAAGATTTCCGGAGGTTAAGGAATTTTTCAAATAAAGGAAATCATACTAAATTATTTCACATTATGCACTATTTTCTAATAATGCAACTACTATGTTTTAACATAAGGTTATATTATTTCTGTTTCCTAGTTTTACCAACACATACCGTATGTATCTGAAATCATACAACTCTTAAAGCAGTATTACTTAGTATATACCAGTGGTTGGCAAATTCATTAGTCAACAGAGCCAAATATCAACAGTATAACGATTGAAATTTCTTTTAAGAGCCAAATTTTTTAAACTTAAACTATATGGGTAGGTACATTGTTATTAACTTAATTAGGGTACTCCTAAGGCTTAGGAAGAGCCACACTCAAGGGGCCAAAGAGCCGCATGTGGCTCGCGAGCTGCAGTTTGCTGACCACGGGGTATATACCATGATAATGGAAAAGCGTAAGATCCTAAAACTTGTATTTTGCCTGCCATAAATAAAATTTAATGACAAAAGTATGTCATATTTCAGAAAGTCTAGCAAAAGAAAAGAAACAAGAATACCCATAGTCCCAGTGCCCTATCTGCCCCATGGTCTTCCCAGTGTTCCACTTACCCTTGTCTACATTCTCCCTTCAGCTGAATGTCAGCTCCAAGGGAGCTAACACCTTGTCTGTCTTGTTCTCCCTCCACTGAAATCCTAGCACATAGAATAGTACCAGACATATAGTAGGTATTCACTAAATATTTACTGAAAGAATGCCTTGCCTATTGTTTAAACATTTTCATAGGCAACTACACAGTAACCTTCTCAGTGCTCTATCATAATTTCCTTAGTGTTCCTTTTAACATTAAATGTTTAGTTGTGAGAAAATTTTTACCACTGATAGAACCAGCACCATCGTAAGCCAGCCCACCTCACAGAACTAACATTCTACCCTGAGGTTTGGGGCTAACACCAAAGCTAGTTATAATATGCTTCTGTTTGACTGTGCTCTCTGAGTATCTTTCTAATTTGGAAACTTCATGTTGGTGGATGTGGCAGACAGAATAATAAGTCCGTAATCAAAACACCATCTTCTCTTTGAAAACATGATTCAATGTGCAAGAAAAATAAGTTGTCTTACTATCCCAAATGCCTTTTTCTTAGCTGACCCCTTCATTCCAGGCTTTTCTAAAGTCAATTCTTCAAGAAAAGCTCACTAAGAATATCCCTAAACTCCCAAACCTCTGGCTCTAATGGGCCCTTGAAACAGGCAGGGTGGCCTCTCACATTCCTGACCTCCACGTGAGCATGGTGTGACTTTAAAGCTGATATAAACCTACCAGCTGGCTCTCTCGGGAGTACTGAACTCAGAACAACCACAGGGGTCTGTTTTAAGGGAAATGGCCAATATATTAAGAGCATGAGGCATGCAAAGCAAATGTTGAGAAGCAAGAAATGCCGGAGAAACGGCATTTGAAAATGACTTCAGGTTTTCTCACTGTGCAGAATATAGTCAAACGCTGCTACAGTTAAATATTTTACCCTTTGTTCTCCCTGCGTGATCTACAATAATAATCTGCTTCCGTTGATATTTACTGATGTGTTGCTGACAATTACCAGAAAGAGAAGTTGAGGTGCTTCACTGGGCTGAAAAGGGTTTAGCTAAATCAGAAAACAGGTCTAATTAAGCAAGTTTTGTTCTATATCCTTAAAAGGCTAAGTTGACTTGCGCATGCGTGATATATATAAAGCTCTCGCTAGCGCTAATCACATGCGTGTGTTTCCATCTGTCATTGTTGATCATGAATTTAGTTGACACTTCTATTATAGAGAAAGGGCAAACAGCAATATGAAAATATTTCTTCTATTAATTTCCTCTTAATGTGCACAAATTCATGCACCAGGCCACTAGTTCCTTCATAAGGTCAGTCACCTGCAGGCTGAGTAGAGGGCTGGTCTTCAGAGCTCGATTCATACCCTGTGATAGAGATGGCCAAGGTTGCCAGAGTAGAAGCAGCCATGGAGATAACCTGCCCTGGCAACTCTGCCCCTGTAAAACAAGATGCATTTTTAAAACTTTTTAAAGCAAATGAACAAAGTGAGAAATAACTTGCAAATTGAAACACAGTAGTCCTAAAAATTTTCACTAGCAATAAAAAAAATATTTTTAATACATATTTTTATTGATTTCAGAGAGGAAGGGGAGGGAGAAAGAGAGAGAAATAACCATGATGAGAGAGAATCATTCATCTACTGCCTTCTGCACGCCCCCCACTGGGCGCAACCCAGGCATGTGTCCTGACCAGGAATTGAACCGTGACTCCTGGTTCATAGGTCAACGCTCAATCACTGAGCCACACCAGCCAGGCAAAACAAAATGGTTATTAATGACCCACCTGACCAGTGGTTATTTGCCAAGGGAGAATACTTAATAATCAACAGGAAAGTCTGCTAAAAATGCAGATTCCTGGGCTCTATCTTTCTCATTGGGGAACTTCATGCTGATGATTGATACCTGTGGCAGGTAGTTTTTTAACTTCACAGGTAAATTTTAATGCTCATCTCTGTTGAAAAATACTGCCAAGTCTGAGAGCTTCCTGAACACAGGCTGTCTCACTCTCTTTTATATTACTAGCTCAGAGTACAATATGGCACAGTCCATACTTGATGCTCTCAATTATAACATTCCACAAATGAATACGCATACGTATGGGCATTATGTAAAACCATACACACACACACACATAGCAGATAATTCAGTAGTCAAAATCCACCACTTAAAAATCTAAAAGAATATCATCATTACTCTGTCTCATGTTATATATGCCCATATGCCCATGTTAAGTTCCTAACAGGTAGTATATCAAGATTAAATTTGCAATAGGCTAAAAAGGTTTACTGGCCAATGAGGTTTGTCTTTAATTGTCAGCCTTTAATCTGTTATGGCAGACAACACAGATTAGTTTACACAATACCAGATTCTAGCATGCTTTCCTGCACTGTAGAGACTAGGAAACTAAAGACTGTATTTCTTGGACTCCCTTGCAGCTAAGGTCCCATATGTGATGCAGTTTCTACCATGCAGGCACACTTGTGTAAGACTCTGAAGACCAAAGCAACTCACTTTAATTTGGAAGCCACATACATGTCAAACACAGTCACAGAGGCATACATGGCTTATCCACAGGAACTTAACAGAAGTTCCAGAGGTTCTGGTATCTGATCTTTGTGGCAGGCAGCAGCAGGATGGCACTTCTACTCAAACAGTCCTTGGTGTCAATGAGCATTTCTCCTGGTAGCGTTATTTCTGCCTGTGTTGCATCTATGGTAAGCTTAATCGTCTGGTCTTTCCAAAAATTCTATATGCAAATATTCTATATGCCAATCAGAACTTCTTTCTATTTAGACTAGCTAGCATAGATTCCATTGTCCACAATTAAGAACACTGACCACTCCTAGTTAACAAATCATACACCCACACTTATACAGGTAGGACCTTACTTTTAGGCCAATACTCAATGTGATTAACATAGAATTTGGCCAAGCGAATGAATTTCAGCTCCAAATGGACTACACATATCCAATAAATTTAACCTTTACAAGTACTAACTCTTTCTCCAACTTGCTGATGTCACTAAAACACACAGTAAATATTCAGTGAATCATAGCTAAATCAAAGAAAACTATGCAATATCATCCTAGTTAATAAGTTTTTAGAGTGCCTGAACTTCATAAAGGAATGAAAAGAAGAGCACACATGCTGGGGGGTGGGAGCAGCTGGGGAGAGGTCAATGGGGGGAAAAGGAGACTTACGTAATACTTTAAATAAAAAAGAATGTAAATAATAAAAAGAAATAAAAAAAGAGAAGAGCACACAAAAAAATCAACATAGAGTACCTGAAAACTATCGAGGTAAGATTAGGAAACTGATCTTATTCAAACAGGCATTCTGACGACTTCTGTCTTAGTGATATCCACCTGAACGGCAAAAACCCCAAGGGTATGGGCAGAAGGATGACAAACTAGACAGAAAAACTCCAGGACTGAGAATCTAGACAAAGTCATGGTATTGGCAAAAAGTCCCAGCTAAAAATAGACATATAGACAAAGGAACATAATCTTGGGGCCCAAGAACTATAAACAAGAAAGGAAAGAGCGTCCAAGGTTTCAAGTGTCCATCTACCCAGGGACAGGGCGAGCATTCAGAGGTCCAAATAACAGGGATCTACGCAAGTCCGAAGAAGCAGGCCACTGGCATTAGCAGCCTAGCTCCAGGGGACAGGAACTCATAATCCAACAAATCATAAAAGAATAACAGATCACATGTTCAAATATTATCTGTTAATAAGCAATGGGCAGAATAGCACTTTTTTAAATCAGGGGAAAATATACTTTGAAACCAATCTAAATGAGACTTTATTCTTGTGTTTCCATTACTAATGTGGAAAATACATTTCCTTCTCAATGGCTTCCAGTGTCATCTCATTGTACTTCTAGTCAGTAATAAGGATGCGGAGATGTACCAGTAGGAGTTTCTCTATGTCTATTTAACTGACAGTGTCAGAAATAGGGAGTGGAAGATAAGCAGTAAAAAAATCTAGTTTGTTCCTTTTCTTTTTCAAACTTGGGCTTAACTGGACCAAACGTTTTCACTCGTATTGCATGCTGTCCTAAAACAATTAAGGCAACCACCAAGTCTTCCTGCGAAGAGAGTTCTAGAATGTCATTTATAAACAATTACCAATGTTAGGAGGAACGGATCCAGCTTCACTTGCCATACTTCTCAAGCTGGGTGTCCAGGCTATTAAAGATACACCTGATGTGTTTGCCTGGCTTTTGAAGAAGTGCTTCTCATATTCAGAGTAAGTTTACATGAGTAAAATTACACGAGACATGTTTAAAGCGTCTACCAGGGCCTTGCCCAGACTGTCATTGCTAATAATGCCAGTGCTCCCCTTTTCTCACAGGCTAAGGGAACACATCCAAGTTTCCACCAAGTGAGACTTCGGGATCCAGGAGACAGAGCACTGGGTCCTGCCGCTGTGGCCAGCCAGCAGAGCCAACATAAAAGACTGAAGCAGCCGGCAATCACAACTGAGTTCAAGAGGATCAGCAGTCAGTACCTTTCCAGGATGACTGATGCTTGTGCAAAGAGCCTGGCGATGGGAAAGAACACTAGGCTTAGGGTCCAAGCCCTGGGTTTATCTCTTAGCTCCACCAGTCACCAGTTAATCCCTGGAATGAAGTGTCTTCGCCTGCAGAATGGAGATAACCATTCTTAAAAAAAGACACTACATTTAAAAGCATGGTACACACTTAACATTTTTTCTCTACATTATCTTGGGGGGTTGCAGGAAATACAAAGAGCTCTCGAGGTCTAAGAGAAAATACTGAGTAAGGCCCCTGGATTCAGAAGGAGCCTCTAAAACTAACTCAGCAATGATTCACAAGAAGAGTTTTCTGGAGGTAATGAATTCTGATGAAATCCAAAGGATTCATTCCGTGAATCCAGAGAACCACAGATCATAAAAGCGTCCACAGCAGCAAAAGGTTCAAAGCTTAGAAGACACGGAGAGAGATGCCTGTACAGGTGACTGGCACGAGTGGGACAGTGGAAATGACCGGGGGGGAATAAGTGCACGTACTGCCATGGCAGTACACTGGAGCAGTCCTGTACCTAACCACATCACAGTGACATCTACAGGAGGGGACGGACCATAATAAAAGGAAAAGGCTGCCCCAGTGCGGACTGGATGGTTTGAGTTCTGATGCCTAAAAGAAACAGGTTCTAGGGACAAGAGAGAAATTTAGAAAAAAAAAAATGTTTGAAAGATTTATTTTATGATAAGGACTGTCTAGACTAGTAGTCCATAAAAAAGTTCTAGATCCAGAATAACCTATTCCGAAGCAGACTGGAATGAGAGTTATTTGCTCTCTTAGTTTCTGTATAACTATCAGAAAGAAGCAAGGAACAAATGTCAGTCACTGTAATAACTGTGGGCTTTTCAGATTTACCTCTCCAGGCACAGCTGCCTCCACGTGGCTGGTCAACTAGGAAGTCCAGTCTGAGGACCTAAGCACTATCGCTCCCCCACCCTCAGCTGTCCCCTTACAACTCATTAGAAAATCATATCTTCAACAAACTGTTTTTGAATAAAAACCATTTACAGCCAAAAATAATCTTTAAAAGAACCTGGCGTATTTAACATTGTAGTAGAAGTTTTAACCAGAGAAATCAAACAAGAAAAGGAAACAAAAGGCATCCAAATTAGCATGGAAGAAATAAAACTATTTGCAGATGACATGCTCTTACATATACAAAACCCTAGTGAATCAGCACCAAAAAAACTATTAAAGCTAATAAATCAATTTAGCAGAGTTGCAGGATACACGATCAACCCAGGTAAATATTCATGACCTTGGATTTGGCAATTAGCGCAAGCAACAAAATTGGAAAATTCACAAACAGGTGGAAATTTAACAACACACTTGAATCAATGTGTCAAAGAGGAAATCAAATAGTATTTTTACTGAGGGGAAAATAGAAACACAACATATCAAAATGTATGGGATGCAAAAGGAATTCTAAGAGGGCAATTTATATCTATAAAAGCCAACATTGAGAAAACACAAAGATCTCAAATAACCTAACTACAGAATTAGATGCTTAATGGGTACAGGGTTTCCTTTGGGGGTGATGACGATATCTTGGAATCAGGCAGCAGTAATGGTTGCACACACTGTGACTGTACTAAATGTTACTTTAAAATGGTTAATTTTATGAATTATACCTCAATAAAAAATGCAAATAAGGGGGGGAGCATGAGGCGTAGTCTAATAACCTAAAATATTTTAAATAAATTTACTGTTCAGAAAACACCATAGGATTTTAAGTATATTTAAAGCTGTTTCATCATAGCATGTTTTTAAACAAAGCTACTCGCCCCAATATCTCTTAAGAGTAGTATTAATAGAATGCCTCATTTCTTACCAGAAGACTCTTTTCCATTCTGTTTTTCATAGAGGGTGCCCACAGACATCAGGAAAACAATAACCAGGAATACTGGAATTCTCCATGAGCCAGCCAGAGACGCTGCAAATTATTAAGAGTTAACATTTTTAGTTAAAAAAAAAAAACCAACACTTTAAAAGAACAATTTGGCATATATGCTAACAAAACTGTTTCACAGGGAAAATTACAAAAAGAAAAAAAAGGCCATCAGGCAGATGAAACCTAAATACAGGACTTCTCTAAGTCCAGTTCTGCTGTCAGAGGCCCTTGGCCCAAAGGACTGGGCATGTACCAGCTACCTTTAATAGGCTTGTATCACCTGAGGAACCAAGTCCTCATTGAAGCACATCCAGCTTTTAAGACTATTCCGAACGCAAACCCCCCAAGTAATCCCAGAATGACCTGCATCAGGCATCTGCATAAGGCATGGATCCTAAAGTCATGTGGCCCGACGTGGTTTCCTAACAATACTCCTAGATGTGAACTGTCTCAAGAAAGGGGGTAACGACCCAAAAGAGCACTGCAAAAAGCTTCAACATATCCTCCCCTAGTGCATAATGCAAAAATGCTAACAAGTGTCTACCCATTAGCCATGTGTAGTTCCCTGAGTTTGTCTAGAGCAGTGGTTCTCAGCCTTCCCGATGCCGCGACCCTTTAATACAGTTCCTCATGTTGTGGTGACCCCCAACCATAAAATTATTTTCGTTGCTACTTCATATCTGTCATTTTGCTACTGTTATGAATCGTAATGTAAATCTCTGATATGCAGGATGTATTTTCATTGTTACAAATTGAACATAATTAAAGCATAGTGATTAATCACAAAAACAATATGTAATTATATATGTTTTCCGATGGTCTTAGGCAACCCCTGTGAAAGGGTCGTTCGACCCCCAAAGGGGTCTCGACCCACAGGTTGAGAGCCGCTGGTCTAGAGCCTTATGGACCTACACCTGCCTGCCTCCCTCCTCTGCCTTCCACCAATTCAAAATGAGTCAAGTCATGTACTAGGCGGTCTTGCTGATAAACTCCTCCAGCATTCCTAGTCAGCAAAGTTAGAGAGTAACACTCCCCTCAATTCCGGACTCTAAGCAGGGACCTATTTTCTCAATCAACTTTTTTTTTTTTTCAACTTTTAACAATAAGTAGCTCTAAAAACTACTTTAAGTAGGCTGCCTACTGCTCTTGGTTACTAATTTTGTTTTTAAATTAGAACTAAATATTTCCATAGACTCAGACTTGGAAATAAGAGTCCTTGAAAACTCACTTTATAATAACCTAGTAGTTACTCAGCTAACAGTGCAGTCCCAAATAACAGAACTATTTTGTGCAGCTCTGACACTGATCTTTCTTCTGTTGAACAGAGATTTTTCCCTCTGAAGCTACTCACTGCTCTAACTCTCTCCAACATGTTTAAACCACTTTCACAGGACAGGCCTCCATGATATCCTTCTTACCTCCGCTTCTCCCCACCCCTGCAGCCCAAGTCCCCTCTCTTATCCAGAGTAAACATCTCTGGCTCCTTTCATTGTTTCTCACGTATGATTCTGAGCACCTCTTATCATACTTGACTGCTTATCTACATCCTTCTTCAGTGTGACACTCAGAAATAGCCATGATAGTCCAAGTGTGCTCTACTTTTTAAGATGTAGTTAGTTTTAAAGGGCCTTTTTGTAAATCAGCATTCACTATAATTAAAAGATAGACATTTTAATGCATAACATTTTCATTAAATATTAATAAAATATTAAAACAGAACATTTTCTAAAGATTACTTTAAAGAATTTTAAATGTAACACTACCAAAAAAATCACTTTGATTTGTGTGGTCTGCCATTGTTGACCTTAAGCTAAACTTTCTTAGAAAAAAGTGACCCACCTAAATGAAAAAGCAATATAATCCAGACAGGAATTGAAACTGCTCTCAAGTAGCGCTCAGTGCTTGCATTCCACTTGAATGAAACAGCCAACACATAGCCAACTACCAACGTCCAGATCTTAAATGAAATATAGACACAGTTGTAAAATATATACACATGAAAATACATACAATTGTACAAAATGTGCAAGCATCTGTATCGCATGAGAGCTGTGGTCACAGAACAGATGAGGTGAAGGCAGACGCTGCTAAAAGGAGCAGGTGCAGGCTTTCCTCCCCTGTTCAGGTAAGTCAAGTTTTGAAGTAAACAGGCATTTAAAATCCCATGTAGTGATGTTATTTAAATATTTTTAAACAAAAATACATGTAGTTTTAATTTAAGATATATTAAAGTTCAAAAACTATTATATGCATAAAGATCCTTAAGATAAAATATTTCATTTTTAAGCCATGGAAGTAAGAGTTTATGGAATTCTTACAGAATTCTTCAAGTTTTCTCTATAGATTAATGTATGTTTTAAAAAGAAATCAAGAAAAGGTTAAAATAATAAGTACTATGATTCCCATTTTACAGATTAAAGAAACTACGACTTCAGGGAAATGACTTGCCCAAGGTCACACAGCTAAAAAGTGACAAAGCAGGGATCAGAACCCAGAAATCTAGCTCCAGAGTCTGCTTTTCTTAACCAGGAGAAAGAAGAGTGGTGCTAAAAAAAATAATAAAGAGGAGAAGGACATGGAAACTACAACATTGGAGATATGGATGTAGTTCGGGGGAGGGAGCTTTTATCTTAGAAAAGGAAACGTCAAGATTTGATAGCTATCTTTAAATAGCTGGGGAAATTCATCTGGGGAAAGCATCAGACAATTTTCTGAAAATTTAGGTGGGATTAGGAAGTCACACATTTCAGCTCAATCTGAGGATAAGTCTTTCTAACACACTACAGCAATCTAAATTGGAATAAGGCTACCACCACTAAAGTGTTTGAGCAAGAGCTGACCATCAGTCAGGGATGACGAAGTAGGAACATCTGCCCCGCAGTGAGAAGCTGAACTAGAGGATCGCAAAAGGTACAAACTTTCAGATTTTAAGTCTAGGATACTTTAAAACCAATCTCCAAGAAGTTTTTGTCCCTTATCTATACTTAGGAATCAGTATCACTATTAGGGAGAGAAAAAAATAACAGACTACATACTTCAGATTTTTTAAGGGAAATTCATGGTCCAAAGTGAAGCATGTGTTTTCACCTAGTAAACCTGAAACCCAGAGATCATCTCATTCCAGTTTAAAATAATCACTGAAATAGACACCTCTGTTCCACTTCTAGGAATTTTGTTTACAGAAGCACTATACACTGTGCAGACAGATATAAAACTGCTGTGGCAGTTTAAAATATTAAAAAATTGATAACAAGCTAAATGTCATTTTATAGAGGACTATTTAAATAATGGTATCTCCAAAAATGGAACAATTATTCAGACTTTCAAAACATGAATATCTATATTCAATGATACATTATAAATTTGTGCAAGTGCAAATTTATGATGGTAAAATATACTCTCAAAACGCTAAAAATATGTTCTCTCTGGCTGGTTGGATTTCAGGGGTTAATTTGCTTCTTTATGCTTTTCTTCAAATATTGAATTTTCTCCTAAGAGGATTATTACTTTTATAACTGGTAAATGTTAGTCCTAACCGGTTTGGCTCAGTGGATAGAGCATCAGCCTGAGGACTGAAGGATCCCAGGTTCAATTCCGGTCAAGGGCATATACCTTGGTTGCGGGCACATCCGCAGTAGGAAGTGTGTAGGAGGCAGCTGATCGGTGTTTCTCTCTCATCGATGTTTCTGACTCTCTATCCCTCTCCCTTCCTCTCTGTAAAAAATCAATAAAATATATATTTTTTAAAAATGTTAAAAAACAGGCCAAACCAGTTTGGTTCAGTGGATAGAGCGTCGGCCTGCGGACTGAAAGGTCCCAGGTTCATTTCCGGTCAAGGGCATGTACCTTGGTTGCGGGCACATCCCTAGTAGGAGGTGTACAGGAGGCGGCTGGTCGATGTTTCTCTCTCATCGATGTTTATAACTCTCTATCCCTCTCTCTTTCTCTCTGTAAAAAATCAATAAAAAATATATTTTAAAAAAAAAAGAACAACAAAAGAAAAAAATTTTTTAAAAAAAGTTAAATAACAACAACAAAAAATGTTGGCCTTATTTTGGATTCTTTCCCTTCAATGTTTTGAAGTGTTTCCTCAGAAAAGAGTCACCGAATATTATTAGTGCAAAAAGTATGGCCATTTATAAAAACACTTTAGAGTTCCTATTAAACCATTCTTTTACAATGACCGATGTTTAAAAATGTTTATCAGGTTATCCTAATACAGATTCAGAGTTAATATAACCTGGTAGGAACACTTTCTAAAAGGCATCTAGAAAAAAAAAAAAAGTCTGCATACTATAGTGTTACAGAAAAACCAGACAAGAACCAAGCAACCACTTTATTCACCGCAGCGGGCTCAGGGAAATGAATCCAAATTCTAAGCAAAGCTACAAGCAGACTTCCCTTTTTCTGGAAGAGCCAGCACTTTGTGCACTTGCTGGCGGCGGCCTTGAAAACTACACAGTTCTATCCAATTAAAAAATGCACCTAGCATGGATTGGGTGTATCTAGTCTCTGGCCTCCAAGGTCAGACAGCTAAGTTTATCTCCCCCATTATTCAAGCAGACTAGAAAGCAAAGTTAATTTTTCAGAATTAGATAGAGGCCGTCCAAAGAATAGCAGAGAATTCCAAACAGTAGTTTTACAGAATAGGGGTTTGCCTTCACAATAGTACTATTTAAAAAAAGAAGTATTATCTGTAAGTGCTAACAAGGAAAGATGTCCACAATACAAGGATAAATTAAAGAGTTTTATACATATGTTATCCCATTTTTGCTTTAAAAAACAAAAATCCTAAACTTTATATATCCACATGGGCATAGAAATAAATTTAGAAGACTATTTGTCAGTAACAACAGTAACATTTGTAGTGGAAATGGTAGCAGAAAAGAGAGACAACAATTTACTTTTACCATAAAACTTCATGCTACTTAATTTTTTTTACATATAATAAGCATGTTTTACTTGAGTCAACTTTTTAAGTTGCTAAATATTTTTTAAAATAACTGAAACTGAAAATAAAGATTTGGACATTCAAATTCCATACATAATTTCTAATATGGATTCCTAAGTGTGCCTTTGGCAGAGTTTTTTTATTTCTCTGTCTCCCAGAGAGATAAGCTTAGCTTCGGAGCAAAAGTGTTCAACTATGAATTTTCTTCCCAGCATAAATCAATGAGCAAAGTGTATACACAAGAGGTCATTCCTTCCCAAGTGTATTTTCTTTAAAACAATGTGTCCTTTTCAAAATATACATTCAGTGTTTGTTTTGAATCACTACATAAGGCTCTGCGTAATGTGTGCTAGATACTAAACTAAGACTGCATAAAAACTGGCAGTGCACTACAAGTAAAGCAAACTAAAAAGTCACATTTGCCTTTCACTTGACTTTTTATCCACATGTACTTTTCTGATTAAAAAAATTGTAAATGCATAAGCCGTAAGTAGATTTTACCTTTTAAACTAAGTCACTGTTTTCTTTACTTTCATCTGGGCATTAACTAGAAAAGCAAGTTGGCTTGCTTCTGTTGCATGTTTCTGCGAAGCACTCTCCTAAGTCTTTTTTTTTCTTCTTCTTCTTCCTTTCCTAGGTCTTGAACAAGAGAGACTAAACCAACAGACTTCTTCCCAAGTTATAGAGCCACAGTCCTAAATCACAGCCCGAGCCCACTATTGCTTCAAGTACTTCATTCTCTTTTAAGACAGCTTAATGCTAACTTGAAAACTGTTCTCTTTGTGGTCTGGGAACTTAAAGAGTCAAGAATCTTATAAAATCGAAATCTTTCACTGAAAGAATCTAAGCACTGAAAATCTTACTGTTGCCAGACAAGCAGAAACGCACCAGTGGCTCAGAAGTGGAATGGAGTAGGCCTGGATGGCTAATGCACACTTCCTAAGAGCCTCACACCTGCAATGCTGCCAAACTCTTGGGAGCTGTAAAACTAAACATCAAGGAACCTTAGAAATCCTCCAAGTACCAGAGAAGAGCCCTGGTCTGTTCAAGGTCACGAAGCAAGTTACTGACAGAGCTCAGTTTAGAATTTACTCTTCTCATCTTTCAGCCACTATTCTTTCCACCTCATGCTTCTTTATGAAGTAAAACGAGAATAATGCGATTAGAGACCACCGAGAAAACAAACCTATTACTACTGCAAACACTGTAAACGGTCTTCAAATTTTCCAACAAGTCTGAATTAATGGAGAGAAGAAAAGCAAGACACTCCCAGCAAAGAAACATGGTGGAGCAGGGGAGGCCATTAGCTTTTCAGATTAATCTTGACAAACCCACACCATCACTAGGAGAGAGGCCAAGTACCTGAAGGACTGAGTCACATGTGAGCATGGTGCAACAAATGATTTTTTTAAAAGTGTTTAGAAAACACTAAGTCAGTGCAATATCCTAATATATTTGAAACTGTTAAAAAAGAACTACTCCTGCCATAAATGATTAGTCTTCACCTGTAAGCAGGATGAAGTGTTAGGAGACACAGGAAAACAGCTAAGAGCCTAGAAGTGAGGGGAAGAGGAACGGAACTAGAAAGATAAACTGGAAACAAAGGAAAATAAAGGCACTGAAGACACTGCAAAGGAACTGAATAGGAATTGAAAATAACTGAACAAGGATAAAAGCAAAGAACATAGAGATGGCTAAGATTTCTAGATGACTAGAATCCAGGGGTCTTTCGAGGAACACACGTGGTTAGTCCAATCCCTGATGTTCTTCCGTTTTTTTCTCTAATAACTAAAATCAAATCATACTAAAAAATTAAACTAAAAAACTAACACAATGTATTGGAGGAAAACTTTAAAAAATCCTCATGAAGGTCTTGATGACAAAGGGACTTCAATTGCTGACAGGTCTGTTGAATACCATTTACTAGCAGAAAGAATAGCCCAGCCAGTGTGGCTCAGTGTGAGCATCAACCTATGAACCAGAAGGTCATGGTTCAATTCTCGGGTCAGGGCACTGCCCAGGTTGTGGGCTTGATCCCAGGCAGAGGGCATGCAGGAGGCAACCAATCAATGATTCTCTCTCATCATTGATGTTTCTATCTCTCTCTCCCTCTCCCTTCCTCTCTGAAATCAATAAAAAATATATTTTTTTAAAAAGAACAAATTAATCTCTAGTCAGTCTTCTCACCTGTGAAATCCCCTCCTACTGCACAGGATTGTTGTGAGAATGAAATAACACACAGAAAAGCACCTAATCCAATGCCTGGGTCATGGCTCAAAAACTGCATCTGAACTGTGTGACTTGCCAACTCACCAAATGTAGATAAGCTTAAATGTAACCTTTCCCTCTGCCTTTCCCATCTATACCTACAGCAGGCTCAAATTTACAAGTTGTCCAAAAAGCATAAAGACTCTTTTTCTCTACCAGGCAGCCCTGCTTGGGATTACAAAATCAAACTGACTGTGAACTATGTGACAGTAAAATTACAGCATGGGACCCCTGCCCAGTCACATGATCTATTTGCAGGTCGTGTCAGGCCTTAATCAGCACTTTTGCCTGAGAGCTGAAAACTCCTTGTCTCTGCTTCCCAGGTACACCTCACCCCCAACAACCCCCCACCCCAGTGCTGAAACACAACTGCAAGCCCGTTTCTCTCAAACTCAGATCAACCTCCGGCTCTACTTTTAATTTAGTCCCTCTACCACTCCCTACTCACTTCTTTTTTTAAAAATATATTTTATTGATTTTCCAGAGAGGAAGGGAGAGGGAGAAGGATAGAGTTAGAAACATCGATGAGAGAGAAACATCGATTCAGCTGCCTCTTGCATGCCCCCCACTGGGGATGTGCCCGCAAGCCAGGCACATGCCCTTGACCGAATTCGAACCTGGGACCCTTCAGTCCTCAGGCCCATGCTCTATCCGCTGTGCCAAACCGGTTAGGGCCCTACTCACTTCTAATGATCTCATATTGTCTTTCATAATGGCGGGGGTCTTTTTACCCCCTCCTCTCCTCCCTTGCCCCTACTACTATAGCCAAACAGCTGAGTTCCAAGCCTTTTTGTATATCATTAATTGGCTTGACCTTCCTCCCTACTTCTCATCAACTTTGGCCCTTACTTCTCTTCTGCTTACCCACAAATGATACAAGGGCATTTAAGTAAAATACAAAGATGAGGGTTTATGTTCAGTAAAAGGATACTCAAAACTATATACTACACTGAGTTGAGAACACCTTTTTACAAGTATCTGATTCCTCATCTCTTTCTACTATCTGAGTGTGACTGAGAAATGCTTCATTTTCCACTAATCATGCCAATTTACCCATGTATTTAACTTCTTGCTCTATGAAAGCACACCACATGTTAATTAGGCCTTTCTTTTATAATTTCCTTCAGTACAGTGGATAAGATATTTGGCCTTGGCTACAGTAATTTACAGTAATTGTAACAGCATCAGTCAAAAACTGTTAGCAGAATCTATGCACGTGTCTGACTGTTGACAGGATTGAATTTCTTGAGGATATAGGAATCAGGCCAAAATAATCTTTATATTTCTTAACAGCATATAGTATTCTGCTTTCTATATAGGAGGCATTCAATGGACTTTTACTGAACTGTGAAACAAGAAGACAAAATACTGAACTGGGCTCCGTAAATGTGAACCGTGGATTTGTTCACAATATGAGTGACGTTGGGACAATCACATTCTCTGGACCTCAGAAACCTCTCCTGGAGAAGCAGGCACCCGGCAGGAAAGAGTAACTTAACTCTGGGATCATTCTGCCTGACAAACACAAGACCCCAGAGTTAGAGGGGGTTGTTGCACATCCCTCCCTCCTGCAACTGAAACAGTCCAGGCCTCTTAGAGGCCAGAGCTTCTGTCTAATCACTTAGCCGTTGCACACACAGGCAGCATCGCAAAATTAAGAACAAGGTGCTCCCCAATACTTTGCTGGCCCATAATTGGTGGGTAATGAACATATGTATACCTGTGAGTCTGTCATCTCCATTAGATTATGTACACATACGATTATATGCACCTTGAAGTCAGAGCCTTCATCTTACTGCTTTTAAACGCTTCACAAAGCCCAGCAGCCAACATAATCGACTTTTAACTTGACCTGAGAAGTGGTATTGATAGAGCAAGAGAAGACAGCAGTTCTGGGATCAATCATCACTCTATCAATAACTTCCAGCAAGTCAAAACCCTGCTGGACAGATAAGGAGAATTGTTTTGCAACTTGATGAACACTGACAAAAGTGAATACAAAATTTTTAATAGTACTCTTTATTGATAAATTGGTATTCTTATGCATTAAATATCCATTTGCTTTTTAACAGTCCCCAGTGAAATATGTGATTTAACTAGTCTACAATCTGATCTGAGTTGGGAATTGTGTCACTTGATTATCTTTGAAGTCCCTTCTAATTCTAAAGCTCCCCAATTTTCTAAGAATAAGCCCAGGGTGATCCAAGGATCAGGAATCTACCTCTCTTCCACCCAGTCGCTTAAGTACTCCAGCAGGAGGAGATGTGCTGCGGTGCAGCTGTGCCTGCACAATGTAAGTAGTTCCCAAGAAGTAGAGTGGGGTCAGGAAGAGGCCGAGGTGGCTCAGCACCCAGGGCCTGGCACAAAAGTATAGAGAAATCACCTGAACTGAGAGGCAGCCCCGGACTAGGAAGAAACCTTTGTTTTTAGGACTTGAGAAACTAGAGTCAACTAGTCCACAGCTTGTCCCTAACTAGCCCTCGCCAGGCCAGAAGTCACCTCTCCTATCATGACATGTTAAACGAGGGACTCTAAGGTCCCTCCCAGCTCTGACATCCAGAAAATTCCACCCGCCCCCAGCCCCATGACCAGGCGTAAATTCAAGTCCACCTGCTGATGCTCTGGAGCCCCCACCTGCAAAGCGGAACAGTGATCCCTAACTGGGGGCGCGTCCCCCTAAGTCGAGAATCTGCTGAGATGGGCGCGGGGGAGGGAAGACAGGGAGCCCGTTTTAAACCACACCCGCCCTCCCGTCGGAAGGAAGTGTGCCCCGTTCCGCAGATGCGTGGGAAGGAAGGCGGAGGCTGCCGCTGCCGCACAGGTGTGGAACTTTGGCCGCCCTTGCACCTTGAGGAGGAGTTGCAGAGTCGCACCCCAGGGCGCTGGGGCTGCAGAGAAGGGTGCCGGGTGCCCGCCGGGACCCCGGAGGGCCGGGGCCGAGGCTCACTCACCCACAGGCTGCTGA